ATATTTATATATATTTTGCTGGCAGAAAAAGAAATTATTAATTGATCTCATTATATACAAGGAGCTCTGATGGCCTAGTGGGAAGAAGTTGTGCTGCAATCCCAAAGGTACATGGTTTGGGGCCACCCGTTGTTCCAGAAGAGAAGGATGGATAATCTCCTCCCCTGCAATGAACTGCCTCTGAAAACCTGCTGGAAGGTCAGCTACGGGTCGGTTCAGATTCTACAGCATACAACAACAACCACAGCCACACCAATGTTGTTATTGTTATGTGCCATGAGTTGCCTGCAAGACATAACAACCCTATGTACAGTACAGCACTGAAGCCTGCCCTCTTCTGGGCCAGTCTTACGAATTCCAACACACCAACCCTCATGGCCCCAGTTACTGTGTCACTCCATCTCATCTAGGGTCTTCCTCTCCTATGCTGCCCCTCCGCCCTTCCTAGCATGACATTCTTCTCCAGGGACCAGTTTCTCTTGGCCATGTGCCCAAAGTATGTGAGACAGAGCCTCGAAATCCTAGCCTCCCAGGAGAAACTTGGCTTCACCCTCTCTAAGACAGACTTTTGTGTTCCTGGCAGTCCATGACTCTTCTCCAGCACCAAAATTCAAAGGCATATATTCTGTCATCTTTAGTCCTTGTCCAGCTCTCTGTTGCAATTATGAAGACCATATAGACTGGATCAGGTGCACCTTAGTCTCTAGACTGACACTGTTGCTTTTCAGCACTCTGGAGCGGTCCCCAATAGCAGATTTACCTAATGCAATTTGTCTTTTGATTTCCTGACTGCTGGTGTTAAGAGTGTTGATTGTGGAGCTGAGTGAGCTGTAATTGTTTAACAACTTCAATCTCTTATTCATCTATCATGGTGCTGCCAATTGGCTCAGTGGTGAGAATCTTTGTTTTCTTGATGTTGAGCTTCAATCTATATTGAAGACTACAGTCCTTGACCTTCTGCACCAAGCACTTCAGGTCTTCTTCAGTTTTAGCATGCAGGGTTGTGTTATCTGCATCACGTAGGTTGCTGATGAGTCTTCCACCAATCTTGATGCCACATTCCTCCTCATAAAGCCCAGCCTCCCGAATGATCTGTTCTGCATATAGATTGAAAAGGTATGGAAACACCTGTATACTAATATTTTGAATTGTTCTTTTTATCCTAGAGCGTTGGTGGCAGAGCACGTAGAGAATCACACTGCCAGGTCCAAGGTGGTGTCTCTCTGGTGGTTCAAATCCACCAGCTGTTGGTGAAAGAAGGACAGACAATCTCTTCTGAGATTCACAGCCTAAGAAACCCTTGGGAGAGCCAGCTATGACTCAGAACCAATCCAAAGGCAATGTTGTTGTTGTTGTTATGTGTCTTCGAGTCGCCTGCGACTCATAGCGACCCTATGTACAACAGCCCTAAACTCCGCTCTGTCCTGTGCCAATTGCACTGTCTCTGACACTCCCATCCCAATTATCCCAGTCACTGAATCAATCCACCTCATAGAGGGCCTTCCCCTCCTGTGCTGTCCCTCCATCCTCCCAAGCATGATGTCCTTCTCCAAGGACCGGTCTCTCCTCACAACATGTCCAAAGTACGTTAGACGGAGCCTCAGAATCCTTGCCTCCAAAGAGCCACCCGGTTTAACCCTTTCTAGGACAAATCTATGCCTAAAACAAAGGCAATGAGATTTAAAAAATTTGTTTAGCAATTTTTACCTTTGTTCCTTCATCATTGATAATAATTCTCCCTCATCTTTGCCTCCCCCGCCTTTACTTTGAAGGGCCACCATTTGAGATGGTCTTTAACTCTTCCCAAACTGTGAGGGGCTGGCCGCTTCTCTTCACACTCCCAATTCCTCATCCCCTGCCACACTTGATTGGCACAGAACTGACTACTAAATAAAGCTATGCCAATCCAAGACACTTTCCTCGAAATAATGTCTGTCCCTCCAAGACATAATTAAAACCCCAATGGCAATGAGGCACTTTTAGAAAGCCATTCCATTTAGGGGGAGAAAAAACCACGCAAATTCATAAGGAAGAGAGGGGAAAAAATTGTAAGTGAAACTATTCCATGAATTCCTGATGGTCTTCTGTTTTACTTTGGATATATTGACCAGTCTACTGCTGGCCATAGAAGATCCTTCTATTTTTTCCCACATGAGAGAAACACGTGGGACAAAAATGCAAAGTCACACAGAAGACCAGGCCAGGCCTGCTGGTTTAAGAGGGCCTGATGGGGGCCTACTGATGGAACACCTGAGACTCAGCTCTTAGACACTCCTGCTGCATTCCTTTGGTGCTCTTAGGTGTCAACTAAACTGTGACTCATTGTTGTAATGTGCTGTTGAGTCACCTGTGACTCACAGCGACCTTATATACAACAGCCCTAAACCCTCCTCTATCCTGTGCCAATCTTATTGTCTCTACCCCCATTACCCCAGCCACTGAATCAACCCATCTCATCAAGAGTCTTCCTTTCTTGCACTGTCCCTCTCTAAGGACTGGTCCCTCCTTGCAACATGTTCAAAGTATGTCAGATGAAACTTTAGAATCTTTGCCTCCAAGGAGCAGCCTGGTTTCACCCTCTCTTGGACGAACCTGTTTGTTCTCCTAATAGCTCCAGCACCACAGCTCAAAGGCATCAATTCTCCTTCTATCATCCCTAGTCATTGTCCAGCTTTCTAATGCATAGCAAGTAATTGCAAAGACCATGGCCTAAATCAGGTGCACTTTAGTCTCCAGACTGACACTGTTGCTCTTCAGGACTTTGGAGAGGTCTCAGTCAGCAGACTTTCCCAATGCAATTCATCTTAATTTCTTGGTTGCTGGTACCAAGAGTGTTGAATGTGGAGCCAAGCAAACTGAAGTTGCTAACAATCTCAATCTCTTCATCATCTATCATGATGCTGCCAGTGGTGAAAATATTTGTTTTCTTAATGCTGAGCTTCAATCCATACTGAAGGCTGCAGTCCTTGACCTTCTGCAGCAGGCGCTTCAGGTCCTCAGTTTCAGCAAGTTGTGTCATCTGTGTAAAGTAGATTATTGAGTCTTCCAGTTCTGATGCCACATTTCTCCTCATATAGTCCAGCCTCCTGGATAATCTGTACTTTACATAGATTGAAAAGATATGGAGACAGGACACATCCCTGGCATACACCCTCTCCAATTTTGAACCATGCAGTGGTTCCTTGGTCTGTTCTGACAACTGCCTGCTGGTCCAAGTATAGTTTTTGCATAAGAGCTATATGACTCATAGTGACCCTGTAAACAATAGACCTGAACTCTGTCCTGTACTGTGCCATCCTCACAATCTCTGACACACTTGGACCCATTGCTGCAGTTATTGTCAATCCACTTCATTGAGGGTCTTCCTCTCTTTTGCCAACCCTTCACCTTTCCAAACATGATGTCTCGCTCTGAGGAATAGCTTCTTCTCGTAATATACCCAAAGTATAAGAGATAAAGATTCATCATCTTTGCCTCAAAGGAGCACTCTGGCTGCACCTTTTCCAAGACACATCTGTTTGTTCTCTTGACAGTCTATGGGATATTCAGTTCTCTTCTCCAACGCACAGCTCAAGGAACCAATATTTCTTCTGTCGTCCTTTTTCATTGCCCACCTTTTAGCAGCATAGCAAATGATTATTAAGACCATTATCTGAATCAGTCTGATCTGAGTCCTTAAACTGACATTATTACTCTTAAGAATTTTGGAGAAGCCCTTGAGAGCGGACTTTCCCAATTCGATACATCTCCTGACTGCTGGTACTAAGGATATCAATCATGGATCCTAGGAAGATGAAGTCTTGGATACCTTGAATCTTTTCTCCATCTATCCTGTTGTTGCTTCTCAGTCCAGGGGTGAGAATTTTTGTTTTCTTGGCATTGGATGCAATTCATATTAAAGGCCGTAGTCTTTGATGTTCTGTAGCAAATGTTTCCAAGTTGTCCTCACTTTCAGCAAGTAAGATTGTGTCATCTTAATAATATAAGTTGTTGATGAGTCTTCTGTCTATATCGATGACACTTCTTCATAAGGCCCAGCTACTCCAATGATTTAGTCAGCATACAGATTGAACAGGTATGGAGAAAGGATACATCCCTGACGCACATCATTTTAAACTAAGGGGTGTTCCCTTGCTCTGTTGGCAACGACAGCTTCTTGTTCTAGGTTTTAGTGTCACATGAGCACAATTAAGGGCTCTGAAATTCCCATTCTTCTCAATGTTAACCATTATTTGTTATGATCCACACAGTCAAATTCATTAGTATAGTCAATAAAGCACAAATAGATATTCTTCTGGCAATCTCTGCTTTCAGCCAGGACCCATCTGATATTGGCAATTATACCCCTGGTACCATGACCCCTTTTTTTTTTTAACCAAGACCTTATCTAAATCCAGCTTGAACTTTTGTAAATTCTCTATGTACTGTTCTAGTCATTCTTGGATGATCTTCAGCAATACTATATTTTGTTTGTATATGATATTAAGGACATTGTTCAATAATTCCCCTATTTTATTTTATCACTTTTTTTGGAAATAAATTAAGGAAAATATTAATATTACACTCATTGGAACAATATAAATATACTATAATTGTGTGATAAATACGAGGTACTTGGTTAAGTTTGAATTTTATAAAAACAGCAAATATTATTAAAAATACAAGTATGCCAAAATATTACATAGCACATGTATCCAGGACAATAATACATGGAATAACAAATAATTTTTAAATAAAATAATTTAATTTACTCTTATCTGGCAACCCAGACCTTTCAGCAAAAGAATGAATTTAGATCATTCTTACCTGTGTTTTTTATGATGCTTTCTCTGGGGATTTCAATAGACCAGGTAACCTCATCATGGAACTTGAATAAAAAAGAAATTAGGAATCTATCTTTACTGTGTTAATAGCAACACCTGTTTTGACATATTTTATATTTTAAAGAAGAATATAAAACAAGACCATTCAGTTATCATGCCACATGCCCTAGAATAATTTGTTATCCTTTACAGGTCATTTACTCATTGATTATTATTATTTTTATTTATTTATTTTATTTTTTTTTTACTTTTGTGTTGGCAGGGCAATTCCTTTTTTAATGATGTTGTGTGCACTCAAGTTGGAATTGACTCAAAACTGATTCTCTAGTGGGTTTTCAGAGGCTGTAAATTGCACAGGAGGAGTTTGTCCATCTTTCTCCTGTGGAGCAGCTGGTGGTTTCAAAACATCTGCCTTTGGGTTGGCAGCCCAACACCTTACCACCAGGCCACCAGAACTCCAGTCAAGACCTTTGTTACTCCAGAAAGCTTTATGTTATCTTACAAAGATATATGTGGTACGAGATGATGATATGATGATATGTTTAAAACTGATTGAAGAAATGCAAAAAAGTCAATAACATGAAAATATGGGGTGCCAATAAGAAGGTGCTACCAGGGAGCTCTGTAGCTTAGTGGCAAGAAGCTACACTGTAATCCCAAAGGTGCGTGGTTCAAATCCACAAATGCTGTGCTGGAAAAGGAGGGACAACCTCCTCCTTTACTAGTCAGATCTGATTTGATGGCACACACACACACACACACACACACATAATAAAATAAAGTAAAATAAAAAATTAAAAAAGAAGTTGGTACCAAAGTGTGTGCTATATACATATCCAAGAGGCAAGGGAACTATTTACTAGTATTCAGTAGAGGGCTTTTTTAAAATGCAGAAAGGGTTTTGTTTTTTTTGTTGTTTTTTTTAAATGCAGAAAGTGCTTACTTCAGTGGTGGTGTATAATGGCGTAAATTGCAAGAAGTATGTTTGTAAAAATCTATTTTGGTACACTGGTAATGTCTTAGTTTCCAGTGATTTCCATAATAAACCGGTAGCACTAGTTTTGGGAAAACTCCTGCTTAGCCTTCTCTTTCCTCCTCAAGGACTGGTCCCTCTTGAAAACATGTCCAAAAGAGGTGAGTTCAACGTTTAGCACCCTGGCCTCGGGGGGGCACTCTCCAAAACAAACAGGTTTGTCCTTTGTCAGGGCATGTTGTCAAGAGGGGACCAGGACTGTGGGGGGAGAGGTAGATGGCATTCTGGGAAAGGAAAGAACCAGAGACAGAGAGGAAGATGGAGCCATGTGATGAGTCTTCAGTGAGCTTGAGCAGATGATGAGGACAGCCCAGGCTATGGCCAGGTTCAGGGCTGCTGTTCACAGGGTGACCATGAGTTGAAGCACCCAATTAAAACTATAGCCTTTATTGCCTCCCTCTTCTACACCACTATTCCCTTTCAATAGTTTTATGACCTTAACTTTTATTAGTTTTGCACTTATCATTTTTCAAAATCACCTGGAATTAATTCATTTATTAATACTTTCCAGAATTCACATAAGTTACTCCAGGGTGAACCTATTTACTCAGCTGAGCAATGAACTGAAAACTAAGAACTGAAAAAACAAGTTTAAGCCCCAAGATGCAATACTGAAGGATATTATGGGCAAAATGCTGATTGATCCAGGAAACATCAAAAGAGATGGAAGCGATACACTGTGTTATACCAAAAAGAATTGGCAGACCCGGAACCATTTCAGGAAATGGCTTATGATCAAGAACCAATGGTGATGAAGGAGGAAGTTAAAGCGGAACTGAAAACATTAGTAAAAAGTAAGGACCCAGGAATTGATGTCAATGGAAGGGTTTCAGCAAACAGATGCAGCCTTAGATGTGCTCACCAAGCTTGTCTAGAGATGTGGAAGACATCTGGCCAACTGACTGGAAGAAATACACATGTTTCCTTTAAAAAAAATGGATTCAACAGAATGTGGAAATTCTTGAACTATATCATTAACATCACAAGCAAGTAAATCTTACTGAAGAATATTTTTTAAATGGCTAGAATAATATATTAGCAGAGAACTGTCAGAAATTCAGGTTGGATTAAGAAGCCTTGGCATGAAAGATACATTGCTGATGTCAGACGGATCTTGGCTAAAGACAGAGAATACTGGAAGGATGCCTATTTGTATTTTATTGACCATGCAAAGGCATGTGGATCACAAGAAATTATGGCTTACATTGAGAAGAAGGGGAATCTCAGAACACTTAATTGTGTTTAAACAAACAACTGGTTGGAAGATACAATAGAAGATATTACTCCATTTATGCAATTTCAAAGCAATAAAAGGTTTGAAACATCAAGAAGGAAAGAATATACATTTGGAAGATCTTATAAAGAAACTTTAAAATTTAGGTACATACATGCACACACAGAAAAAACTCTAAGAAATATAGAGTATACCATACTTTTTGGTAGTAATATTCAACATCACAAAATGTCAATTTCCCCCACACTAATTTAAGCCCCAAAGTATGTTTGGTTGTTTTGGTTGTGTGTGTGTGTGTGTGTGTGTGTGTGTGTGTGTGTGTGTCTTAACAGAAAAGTTAATTCCAAAAAGTTAAGCACTGGCATATGAAAAGAAAGACAAAGACATTTGTTAGAGTCCAATAATAAGATTAGGGGCATGTGGGGATTAACTCTGTAGTTAAAGTGATATTTCAAATTAAAAGGAGGCAGAATGGATAATCCTGAAAGTCATCTTGGGAAAATTAAATAGCCATGCAAAGAAAGTCAGATTTCTGCTTACTGCTATAACAAACAGAAATTCCAAGTGGTTCAAAAGTTTAAAACAATACATTTTTCAAAGAAACGCAGGCTATTTTAAATGAAATCTAGACAAAACAACAGTAGTCAGAAAACATGGACTTGGTGACAGAAAAGAGGATGGAATTTTGTACAATCATGGAATTTTGCACATTCATTATAAAAGACTTTTTATAAGTAACACAAACAGCCACTAGACACATGGACCTCACCTTCTGGTTTACACAGGAATCAGACTGATTACATTTGTGGAAAGAATCATTGGAAACGCTCAGTATCAACTGCAAAAACTAGGCCCGATGCTACTCATATGCAAGTTCATACTAAAACCAAAGAAAAGGAAAACAAATCCACAAGAACCAAAATTTTACCTTGAGTCAACCCAACTTGAATTTAAAAATCATCATAGGATCAAGTTCGAGCCCTTAAATACTAATGAACAAAGATGAGCTGAGCTGTGGGAGAATATTAAGAATATGCTCCATGAACGGTGGGTGGGTGGTCCAGCCTGGGAGGCTGCTGCTGGTGGAGGGGCAGCGAATGCAGCTGCCCTAGCCTGCCCGGGGACCTTGTCCACACCCATCCAACTTTGGAGGAAAGAGCCAGACTTCTCAGAGGTCAGTCTGTTCAATAAGTGGGACCCCAGGGCCTTCAGCAGAGAGAGCTTGCACTGACCTCCCCAAAGGATGGCTCCGTCTCCATGCTGAATTCTGATGATGCCATGGTTCTGAGGCACATGGGTAATGGGATGACCTTTGTGATGGATCTGACATCAAAGCCAAGATCCCTTTGATCCTCAACTCCATGAAATCTGTTTCTGAGCCCAGGAAATGAGACAGGCTAGAAGTACATCTTGTGGGGGGCTTCAGAGATGACAGGCATTTGTCACAAAAACTCAGCAACTCCTCAGTGAATTTGACAGTCAAGATGACATCCACTTAGTGACATTAAGTGTGACATAATTAAATGACCAGGAAGAAAATGAGAGCCAGCTCCTCATAATTTAGGGCATTGCTGTCAACATAAAAACGGCAGAGATTTCCAGAGCCTCCTTCCAAGACTGAGGGCTGGTGGAGGAGCTGTGTGCTGCCAAGGTCATGATGGGAGGACCGATGATTAGTATTTATGATGTGGAGATGGAGCCAGCTTCACACAGGAGGGCACTCCTGGATGCCTTTTCTGCATGTAAATTTCTGGTTGCTGCAAGATGACAAGACTAGAGAACCTTTCCACCTCACCTGTGACCAAGCGCCCCCCCCCGCCCCCCCACTTCATGGAACACGTCAGACCCACCTTCTTGTTGTTGATTGCCTTCAAGTCGAGTATGACTCATAGCGACCCTATGAACAAAAGGCCTGAAGCCCCTTTACAGCCATCGACATTTATCAAAGTTCATAGAGTTTCTGGAGGCATTTTGTTTAGGAAGTGGATGCCACTTCTGCTTCCAAACCTGTCACAGAATGTTATTGAGTTGCCTGTGATGCATAGAACCTTTCCCTGTCTTGAGCCAGTCTCACTAATTCTAACACACCAACCGTCATTGCCGTATCAATCCATCTCATCCGGGGTCTTCCTTTCCTGTGCTGTCCGCCCACCCTTCCGAGCATGATGTCCTTCTCCAAGGACCAATCTCTACTGGCCACGTTCCCAAAGTAAGTGAGGCAGAGCTTCAAAAGCCTAGCCTCCAAGGAAAGACTTGGTTTCACCCTCTCCAAGACAGATCTGTTTGTTTTCTTGTCAGTCCATGAGTTGCTTTTTTTTTTTTAAATACCCATACCCAATCATGAACTCTTTCCAGAAAATAAAACTCTATAGTGTTCAGGCCTTTCGTTCATAGGGTCGCTATGAGTGGTCTATGTCTCGACTAACAATAACAAATCTACAAAAAAAAAAAGAAAAAAAAAAAGAAGGTACCTTGTGGGAAAAGAGCTCTTCTTCATAAAGCAAAACCAGGAATTACCAAAGAAAGCAACTTTTTATCCTGAAAGAGACCGATGCTGGGGGCTGGAGGAATGTGAGTTTGGAATCTATGCCCAGTGTGTGATTGATCTCCTTACTCGAGGTCTTTCAAATGCCCTTGGGAACAAAATACTATTTTGTCAAAGGAAAAAAAAAAAACACCCTTATCTATGAAAAATGCAAAAATCATTCCAATGACAAAGGAGGAAGAAAAGATCAAGGTGGATGTTGGAAGAGATTCTGAATATTGCACTAGAAGAA